TCATGACTTTGCGAAGTTACTATTTTCTCCGACAAAAACACAATAGTAAATTTAAAAAAAGCATCATAATAACATTAATTATTTCAAGAGATATTTATTTCGAACTAGGTGACACACAAACTAGATTAAACCCAATAAGAAGAATAAGTACCAGTTGCTATCCTACATAAATCTCAAACTAATCAACACAATAATATTTTGTTCTCACTTTATTCATGAACCAAAAGGTTTGAAATCTTTACATAAAATTCATAACATCATGAAAAGAGAAGAACAAAACATCACTTCTTTTTACCTGAAAAAGAAAAACAAAGGTTACTTAAAACATATACGAGACAACTGCATTGCATGTATTATCTTTACATTAATATATATAAGCATACCCTCAGCCTCATTTACATGTGCAACGACATGAAACAAGGAGCCAATTTTTCCAACATTAAACCAAATTAATTTGGTCATTATGAGAGCAAGGATGATTATCATCACAGGGCATTGATAAAAAACAAAGCTGAAGAAAGAACAAAACATTGTATAACTTATAATTAAAATGCAACATTATGCAAACTATGTAACAGGCTTTCAATAAGTTTTGTTTCATAACTACAAAATAGCAATAGAAGAAATATAAATATAAACACAATGAGCATATTAATATATGATATGCAAAAATAAAATATATAAAAGCAGGCAATAAGAATGTTAAATGACTGCTAGTATTTGCTCCTATTATGAGGACAATCATAGCCTCCATCAAACAATAGCCCCCATAATGCAGACTCATTTACTTAGCTTAATAAATGAGAAGCAAATATATCAATGCCTTCAGTGATATAGAGAACAAAATAAGTTCAGCAGCAAAATTCAGAGAGCTGGGATTTTCATCATAAGACATACAATTTACAAGGAAGAATTCAATAACTTAAATCTGTACCAAGAAAAAGAATACATAGTTGACTACGGAGAAAATAAAATAAAAATATGTTTATTAATGATAGTTCCTTCTTGAAGTACTTTTTAGGTTCAATTAAAGAGAAAGTTAAATTCATCAAAATATAGGGCTTATAATAATGCAACATTTACAGTAATGGAAGCAAAAAATTTATTAAGTAAAAATTAATATATTTTCCATACATTTATTTACAACCAGAAAATACCAGAATAACCCCAAAGCAGAAGCCCAAAAGAGAACTGATAATATATGAAATGAAAAGGTATAGTCATAAAACCAGTATTATTAGATTTGAACTATTCAATAAAAATCCTCGTTTTAAGCTTAAAAATTCTTTATCACTCAAATTTTTTCCCTTTTAAATTTAGAGTTTACCTTTGTTTTAAACCTCTTTCTACTTTATAAAAATGGTATACAATATATATATATATATATATATATTGTATTTTACAAAGGCCATAAATATCATATTAAAGAAATAAATCACAATTTACGATACAAAAGATGTTTTTAAAATACTAAACTTGATATGGAGAAGTTGGCAACCGTATTGAATACAGTGGCCAAACTGCAACCTTACATTTTTAATTTACTCAGAACAAATAAAGCACACATTTTAAATGCACAATTCGAGTGTCATATTAATACATAAAGATATCAGTATTTTCAAAACCATGCAGAAATGCAGTGCTGGAAAAAAAAAGAAGCCTGGATTTATGATGAAACTGACAAAAATAAAGCAAGCCAAAAGTGAATAACTATTTGCACAATACGAATTTTGTGAGTCATAATATGTATCAAAATTTTTTATAATAAGCATGGGAATTCAACAATAACCTAAAAAAAAAATTCCCTTCCTTCTTAATTATGCTGAGGTGCGACCACAAGCTGTGCATAGAAGTGTAGTATTACTGGACCACACACCCACTAACTTTTGAGCCTTTTGCACTGGGGTGTTATTTATATCACCATTCTAGCTTTTTTCTGTAAATGTTTATGAACCGCAACATTTTACAGAAAACAATGTCTTCAGCAAAGATAGAGAACAAAATGTATTCATCAGCTGAATTCAGAGAGCTGGGGTTGTCATCACAAGACATTTAGAGCAAATGCTAATGCATGTTTTAATAATAATAATAATGAAAGAAAAAAAATTGTAGATAACTATTTTTTTGTTAAACAAATTTACTTGTAGTTCTTTTGTGAAAATGTAAACTAACAATTTACAGGAGATAATACAACCAGGGGTCTGTCCAGACATTTTGTAAAAGGTCCGGTTTTCGCAGGGTTGCAAAAAACCCGCCCGGGTTTTACTGGGTATAACCCACTCTAAACCCCCCCCCTAAAGTGGGTTTTTCTAAGATTGATTTCTTTTTTCATCCCCTGTTATATTAAAGAGATATTCTATTGAAATATATATGTAATCTATCCTAAAAAAAAATTAACCTACAGTGAAGAAACTAATTGTGTTGGAGACTGGAGAGTCACCTTGCTGGCTAGATTTGACTGTATGGCCATTGATTATTCAGTGCCATTGATTCGCTTTCTATGCAAATAAAAAATTTTCCCCTAACATTTTTTAAGATTAAAATATAAATAAAAAGTAATCCTATGTTAAAATAAGTTTCAAATGTGTGACGTATGTGAGTACATATAACATTTTGTAACGTGATGTCAGAAAAAACTTTTTTCAGACTTTCACATCAATTTATTTGTATTAATTATCTATATGAAGTCAATTTACAAAATTAAATTTAATTATTAATATTAAAATAAGCTTTTTTTAAAATAGGGTACTTATCCCTGCCCTCTCTTTTGAAAACCCTCCCATAAAAACATGAAAAACCCAATAGAACCCAGAAAAGCCCAATAAAACCCACCCGGGTTGGGTTTTTCTACAAAAACCCGGGTTTTTTGCAACCCTGGGTTTTCGTGAAATTGTGAAAAAATTACTTATATTCTTTCAGCCAGGGTCCGCTTTTATGAATTTGTGCAAATAGGGTTCGGTTATTGCAAAACCTTTTTCAAGGAGTTTTTAAATTGTACATAGATACAAGATTATGCTCAGCATTTTAAAATTATAATAGAAAAAATTAAATTTTCAAAAATAAACAGCAATTGCTGCTTCTAAATTAGAGATGCAGCATACAAATATTTGGTATTTAGCCTATACTGCTGAACGCAGAATATTCATTTCGGAAGAATAATGGAAGAATCGTCTGCCGAAGACAAAACTTAATTCATTTACATCCATCTTTCTTGTTTTCTGCCCTGGGAAGGGTTTATTCGATTAACAAGACAATAATGAAGATAAACAAATTTGTGAAGGGCCTGATTAAAAGAAAAATCATTTTGTGAAGGGTCCGCTAACGGACCAAAATTTCTTCTAAACAGATCTCTGACAACATTCCCACGATATTGATCTTTAGAATCAAAAATATATCAATGTCTTCAGCAACAATAGAGAACAAAATGTACTCAGCAGATGGATTCAGAGAGCTGGGAGTGTCATCACAAGACATTTAGAACAAATACTAATGCATGTTCTGACGATAATTATAATAATAAAAAAGAAATGAGCAGATAATTATTTCTTTGTTAATTAATTTTACCTCTAGCTCTTTTCTGAAAATGCTTGTGAACTGTGACAATTTACAGGAAATAATCCAATATCCCTTAATATATACAGGGTATCTGCTACATTTTAGATTTTCAAATTCATGACTTTCCATGACTAATTCCAAGAATTTCTCATGACTTTGCGAAGTTACTATTTTCTCCGACAAAAACACAATAGTAAATTTAAAAAAAGCATCATAATAACATTAATTATTTCAAGAGATATTTATTTCGTTTCCATCTGCAGACCAGTGGAATTTGTGCTTGAGGTGATGCTGATGAAGATGCTGAACATATTCTTCTTCATTGTAGTCTGTATGCGAGTGCCCGAATGAATTTTAAGACTGACTTGAGACGTCTTTCTATTTGTTGGCCACTTGTCTTTTTAGAACTGGCCAAAAGCATTGAAAGTCTTGCGGAATTTTGTTTTTAATGTAAATTTTTCTTCTTTTGTTTTCTACTTATAACTGTAAGCCTCATGCTATACTTTGTGGTGCATGAGGAGTTTTAAGTCGCTTAAATAAAAAAATAACATGAATTGAAATTATAAGTGTAACCAAAACTGTTATACTCCACATATTCATATTTATAGATTTTTAATTTAAAAAACAGAGAAAATGAAGATTTGCAATAAAATAACTGAAAAATACACAAGTAATTTTTTTTCTTTTTTCCGCAGAAATATGTTCCAAAGATACCAAGGGAAAAAAAGGAAATAAATACTTCTGATTTTTCTGTTCTCATTTCGGAATAAAAATAATTTGCCAATCACTGGCTTGCTTCAGCTAGAATTTTAAATTAATAAAATATAAAGATAAATCATAAAAATTCTGAAATCACAGAAGGAGGGGTAAATTCCAGTTTAACAATTAGATTTTTTGGCGACTTAACTTCATGACTCTTTTTATTTTTTTAAAAAAAAAAAGCTAAAATCATGACTAATTTTGTTCAATACCGAAATTCAAGACTTGATTTTCCAGGTGTGTGGATACCCTGTACAGATATCTAGAACCAAGGATACATTAATGTCTTCAGAAGAACATCAAAAAACATCAGCTGAATTCACAAAGTTGGGGAGTTTAATCACAAGAGCAAATGCATGTTTTAATAATTAAATATATAAATAAAAAAATCAGGCAGATAATTATTTCCTTGTTAGTCAATTCTACTTTCAGTTCAATTCTGAAAATGCTTGCAAACTGTGATAATCTACTGGAAATACAGTGTTCTTATGATATTGAGTTTTAGAATCAAAAATAAATCTGTCTTCAGCAATGATAGAGAACAAAATGTATTCATCAGATGAACTCAGAGAGCTGGGAGTGTCATCACAAGACATTTAGAGCAAATGCATGTTTTAATAAAATTAATAAATAAAACAGGCAGATAATTATTTCCAGGTTAGTCAATTTTACTTCTAGCTCTTTTCTGAAAATGTTCAGCAACAGCAACAATTTACAGGAAATACAATATCCCTATGATATTGATCTTTAGAAACAAAAATATATCAATGCCTTCAGCAAGGATATGAGAACAAAATGTACTCAGCAGATTAACTCATAGAGCTGGGAGTGTCAACATAAGACGTTCTGTTGCATGTTCGATTAATAATAAAGAAAATAAATGTGCAGATAATTATTTCCTTGTTAGTAAAATTTACTTCTACCTCTTTTCTGAAAATGCTTGTGAATTGTGACAATTCACAGGAAATAATTCAATATCCC